CATTCACTGTGTCTCAAAATGACACTTTTACAACCATGATGCACATTTAGGATGATTTTCATTGTAAAAATACTGCTGCCCTGTTTTTAAGTATTTGGTCACATCGGTCCTTCGGTCTAATTACAAACCATAAATAAACATGTGACGTCAGCTTAATGGTGTAACTACAACTTCTGCAAGTCACAGAAGGAACTGTGCACAGAAATATCCATCGCAAGGTGCCTGTATCAGCATGTGTGCATGTCTCTTTGGGGGATGGCTGCCGAATCACAATCTGTGTCATTCACAAAGTTAGAAACACAGCTCCGATTACAATTTGGAGACCTACCAACACACAAATAAATTAAGATATACTTCTCTGAAAAGAGGCACAAGTACTAAACTGATAAAAAAAAGAATTAGTATCTACAAACAAAAGGAAATTAAATCATAAATATTCAACACTGGAAATATTAGTTATTAAACAAAGTCACAAATTGAAGAAAGCCAGTCTCAGAAAGCTCTTTTCTCCAAAGACGGGTTTTCTTCAGGAGTCGCGTCCCTTTAGAAACCACTCCAACTCTTCCAACTGACGCCCTGTAGCTCCACACATTACATTAATCGAGTTTACATCGTCTCCATCCAAACCGACAGCTAAATCAGATTTGAAAGCGTGGAAAATGTAGCGGTGTTGATGTACTTCTGACAAACTATACACAGAAAACACGGCAACAACGAGGCGTAAAACGGAGCCGATCCTATCAGAGACCAGCACCTTGATCGTGCACACACTTTAAAGGGAAACTAGACATGACATTGAGGGGAAAAGCGTGAACAGTAGAACAATGTCTAACAATAAAATCTGTAAATTCTGTAAAGGAAGAGAAAAAAGCTACGCTGATCTTAAAGCTAAAATGCAAGTCTGTAAAAACAGAATAAAAACTCATGAGCCATAAAACTGGCCTTCCATCATTCCTGGATTCATTCAGAGCAAGATTTGAGTCAAACTTTGGTCCAGAGGTCACTGGCAAACTGCTTACGGCGACATGAACTGTACAGTACAGTACAGTATCCAAACTGTACAGTATCCATTTACAAGAAAACATATGTAGCGGGCTCTATTCGTGCATGTTAATACACTATCCTGGATGAGATGTGCAGTAGCATTAGTGAATCCTGCTGCTTTTTCAACATTCACTGAATCAATCACATTTATAACCTGCTGGAAAGGCTTTAAAAAAAAAAAAGTCTACTACTCCTGTTCATGCGTGCCTGCCGCAGAATGACACCAACAAAATGACACTAAAGCACACAATGAAAATATAATATATATATTCTACATATAATATATTCTGCTCTAGGTGCATGTATATATACGAGATATAGGTCATCTGAAGTTAGCATTTAACATTTTAATGCAGGTAATGTAAGTTTTTCCTGATTTGTCCAGTTTTCCAGCACAGCTTTTAGGAATCTAATATGTTAGTACGATGCCAGGTCTCTCGTGGAAATTCAATTTTTAATCTCAATGAAAATTTTTACCTGGATAGATAAAATAAAGGACTAATAATGTTTTAGCTTTTTCTGTGAATGAACAGTGACAGTTGTAACATAGATGTCAAAAAGTCACACTGTTATAAAACATTTTTGTTATACAGTAACTACTTTGGACACATTTAGCGATACTGGCTTAAATCCGACTCTCGTGGTAATTTGTTTTTATGATCCATATTCATATTCACTGTAAACAATGCAGAAGAGGCAGCTTCAGGCAAACTTGCTGCCTCCTGGTGATGATTTTTTTTTTTTTTTAAATGCCTTAAATTTTGTCACGCCTTCATTACAAAGCCTGTACACTGTGGTGGATACTGCAAAGTATTTCATACTCAAAAAGACACTGATCAGCCACAACATTAAAACCCATCTTCCTAATATTGCATGGGTCCCTCAAGAACACCTCTGGCGGAGTCCTGATCTCTGGTGGCGAGGATCCTTCTGGACTTGGTCGGTAGTAAATTGAGGACTCCGTAGACCAGGCTTGTTCCAGCTCAAACTGTCGATGCTTGGGATCTGGGAAGCGTGATGTTCCTTGAGCTGTATTTACGGTGGTCAAACAACAGGTCCAGTTATCCTGATGAATGTCAGGAACCAAGTTCTCCCAGCGGGGCGATAAACTGCATTAAACTATTGAAGGTTTTATTATTGTGGCTGACTGGTGTGTGTTTCACATCTGCACTGACCATCACACTGACGAGCTTTGCTTGAACTACAAATATTTTAGTTTATAGTCATCAATCTACTCAACTGGCCTTGACAAGACCGATTTGCAGCAAAATATAACACAGAAAAGTACAGTACACCTAGTGAGCATCTGAGCTTCCATCATCAATGAAACCAAAGTCACTTTGTGACAGAGACAACTAAAGCGGATTTATTTACATTATCGGGTGCATGCTTGCTGCTACAACAATGAAATATTAAGCACCCACAAACAAACAAAACTTAATTGCGATATTACATAAGATTAGTGTGTATTCGTTTTTACAGCTCGTCCTTTGTCTCTCATTTCTCTGCCTGCTCCAGCTTCTTGCACACTTTCTACACTGTTGGATCACATGACTCAACAGAAGCTACCTACCAGGGGTGTCAAACGTGAGGGCAGAGGAGCCAATTCAGCCCACTCAAAGACTTTAACAAACTGTAAAACTTGCACAATCTTTGGTCTCTTCCATCTGTTGGTTTTTTTTAATAGCAGTAGTTAAAAGTAATTAAAAATCATCCAACTAATGAGAGTGGCTGTCTAAACCAACTCCCTCTTGAAAAAGCCTGTCACGCTACACTGAAGTTAAACCAAAAGCATCTCAGACTGTTGGTTCTTGTTTTCTTTTTGAAAAATGGAGGATTCATTAACTTATGTTTATTAAACTTTTTAAAGTTGAAGTTCAGTGATTCAACTACCCTAACACCCACTGAAATGAAATCACTCTGATTTCATGTGGTCCTTGAACTAAAATGAGTTTGACACCCCTTTAACCCCTACATACCGCACTCCTCTCACTGTGTCACACGATCCATGATCCGTGCAACCAAAATACAAACGTTTTTAAAAAAGGAAAAAAAAAAAAGAATGTGATTTGTGAAAACACCACAAAAACTAAAAGATACTGCAAATAACATTAGTTAAATTCTACTTAGATAGAAATCTAACAAATTCCTAGGATTGCTGGTTAGTGTCTTTCCCGAGGTCTAAATTCAACATCTTTCAAAGTTTCACGGAAGTTTTCTTCTCTGGAGTCCATTGCCATTTTCAGCCATTCAGTCATTGAGTTAGAGATGTTTATGTTTCATTTCTTTTAGTTATCCGAATATTAATTTGTCCACTTTATCTTCATGGTCACTATAAAATCTTTAGCTCATCTTAACTGTTCTTTCCTAACACACCCTTAAAAGATGACCAAATCATATGCATATAGTTCAGAAAAAAACAAAACATGAAGTGACCACAAATAAACACATTACTGAGGGTTAATTTTAAAGGTTTAACCTACATAAAATTGCTAAGAGACAATATTTGGACCTACAAATTTTTACAGTCTTTCCACATATAAAACTTTTTAAAGAAAGAAAAAGTTATAAACCTGCATTCAATTAGTAGGAACGAGTTATGTTGCTGCCCGGCTCCTGCAGGCTGACCAGCAGATCGTCAATCTTCTCCATGTTCTGAGAGGCAGACATGGTGTTCGGCACAGTGCCAGACTGAGAGAGGGACTGGCTGAGCAGGGACTGGATGTGCGCTTCACTCTCTCTCTGGTTCTGACCAGACTGGCTGATTGCTATTATCTGATCTGACAGCGTGTTTCCAGGAGTTTCCATCAACTGGCCACATTCTGCAAGGAAGGAACAGAAAGAGCTTCATGACTCAACAGGAACCATAGTCAAGAAAATTACAAACCACAGGCCTTTGAATAAAGTAAGCAGTGAACAGATTATTAATTAGTTATGCTTTGAATGAAAAGTGGAGACACTACTGTCAATAATGAGTCCTCACAATCCAGATTTGACTGTACTCAATTCTTGCCAATTTGCAACCTATAAATCCGACTTAAAAATTGTGTTTTGTTTTTCTTTTATTGAACAATTAAAGGATGGGGATTAAAAAAAACTTTACAAATATGTTAAAGATGAACATTAATAAAAATAAAAAGGATAAATTCTAATACTGGTATTTCACAGACATGTGAAATTTAATCTGAAGTAACTCATTTTTACCACTTGAGGGCAGCAGAAACAAATAGTGATACATAGAGATGTAGGTGCAGGGGTAGGCAAGTCCAGGCCTCGAGTACTGGTGTCCTGCAGGTTTTAGATGTGTCCTTGATCCAACACAGCCTGGAGTTGCCTACCCCTTGTCTATGCAATGAACACATTAACTTTCTATCACGCTTTAAGTTGATGTGGTGAAACTAATGAACAGATACGAAGCAATGCTCAGTAGTCAAAGTTGTGAGTCTCATCACTTAACGAAGCTCCTTTTTAGCTCTGCTAAATAATGAAGAAGAAAAATGGGCTTTTGGACTATGTAATACTCCTTTAGGTTTACCAGCTAATTACTAACTGTATCTTTTCTTGCCATAAACAGCTGTTTGCTGCATCTAGATACAACTCTAATGAGAGCAACCAGATTGAACTAAAAGAGCAAAGCTGTGAATGCTGAAATCAAAACAATGAACCCAAACTACTGTTGGACAGCTAAGTGATAATCTTGTTCCTCACTTCTCACTTTGAGTCATTTCAACAGTTTCAACAACGTGCACTTGCCTAATAAATTTCTTACCGTTCTGGATACCGAAAAGGAAGAGGCCAGCTTGTTGAGGCTGGCTGGATTGATTGACGCTCCCACTCACAGCTGTTTGAAACAGAGATCCTGGCTGTTGAACAGGGGAGGACGTAGTTGTCTGGAGGTTTGCCACGCCATTCTGTGAGGCAAACACAGCTGATTGTGCAAGCTCCTGAGCGGCCAGACCCCCCTGCAGAGAGGCCATAGTGGACTGAGGCATGAAGAGACCCACAGGCTGCTCCTCTCTGTTGCTGCTGTTCCCCAGCTGCATAGGTTGTTGCTCCTGAAACATGGCTTGCTGTGGTGGTTCAGCAGGGTTCCCTAAGGTCATGGGTTCTGGGCGATCTTGCTGGGTTACCGTCACCATGTTGGCTTGAGAAAAGGGCAGAGGGGTGTTTTGGGGCTCTTGAGAAACTAGACTGTTGTTGGTCAAAGGAGGCATTTGGCCTTGGTTGCTGAAAAGGATGCTAGAGCCCTGGTCTGGTGTGGAAAGGGTGTTGCTGCAAAACAGCAAGCCAGCCTGCTGTTGCTGCTGCTGCTGGCCTGGAGAAAGTGAATTTGTAGATGAATGTGGGGAGATGTTCTGAAACAGGGTGGCCTGCTGGGCTGGCTGTGTGTGGTGTTGAGGCTGAGATGGTTGCTCCTGCTCCATGGGGCTTCTCTGCTGGATGGGGGAGATCTGGGTCTGAAATACTGACTGTGGTTCAGGGGAAGAAGATTGTAAAGCGCTAAGGAAGGCCAGCTGCTGCTGCTGTTGCTGCTGTTGTTGCTGCTGCTGTTGCTGAGAACTGTTGTTTGAAAGCTGATTGGACATAGAGGTCTGGGGGAGGAAGAGTCCAGGGGATGAGGCTTGCTGCTCTGGAGACTGTAGCACTGTCATGGTGCTTTGGAAGAGTGCAGCCTGGACCTGTTCCTGGGAGGCCTTTTGAAAGAGCGCCCCCTGTGGATCCTGCGTTTCTGCCAGAGTGCTGGGATTGTGAAACATCGGTGGTGAAGAGTGAGATGGGGTCTGCTGGAGGAAGTTTGTCTGGATAGAAAGAAGATCATTTGCCTGCTGAAAAAGAGCTGCTTGCTGTTGCTGCTGCTGTTGTTGTTGCTGTTGTTGCTGTTGCTGGTCCGGCTGGAAAAGTGATCCCTGGTTAGTCACCACACCTGGTGATGAGACCTGAAGCTCTCCATTCTTGGCCTGGGATGCATCCTGAAACATGGCACAGTGCATCTGCATCTGTGACTGAAACAGCTGCTGCTGCAGATTCTCCATAACCTGCTGCTGCTGTTGCTGCTGCTGAATTTGCTGTTTTTGGATCTGTTGCTGATGCTGGATGTGTTGCTGCTGCTGTTTGGTTATAGGGTTGTCAGATTGAAGTGATAAGTTACAGTATCCTTTGGCTTTTAGTTGTCTCACTGCTTCTTCCAGCTGGGCTACTTCATCTGGAGGAAAGAGTGGCAGCTGCTGCGGTTGAGATGCAGGTTCCCCACACAACCTCCCCACAGCTCCAGAACTGACACCTGGCCTCTCCTGCCTGAGGCCATCTCTGGTCTCCAAAAGGAACTGCTGTGATCCTTGCTGAAGCAGAGAGTCTGCAGGCACAGAGAACGAGCTGCCCGCAACAATGTCCTGCTTCTGGATGGTGCTTAAGGGCTCAGTGCTGGCAAAAACAGGCGCCTGGCCTTTGTCAGGATCACCTGCAGGCTGAGACAGGTTGCTGGAGAATACTCTGTTTTTATTTAGATGTCCTGCCGTCATATCAGAGTTCTGCTGGGCTGTGCACAGATCACCAGTCTGCAGGTAACCCACAAAATAGAACACAAAAGATGTGCTTCACTTTGCTTTTCAGTTACGCATCACTGTTATTCTCTTTTTCAAAACACAGAATACTACCTTTATGCTTTATTTCAGGGACAATAAAACATGAACGAACTGAACGACTTGACTTTAAAACAAATTATGAAAGCAACACATAAGATAAAAGCTTCACCTTAAATACTCCTGAAGACTGAAGGTTGCTTGTCACCTCCATTGGAGTGACATCTTCTCTCTTTACTAAAGACAACAAAGGCATCAGGGATCCATCTACAACCGTACGAGTAGCAAGGATTACATTACATTTTTTTTCCATGTATTCACTTTACTATATATAGGAAACCTTGGTGTCTTTGTTAAAAAAATTGAAATAAATAAAAAATAACCTTTAATTTGGTCATCAAAAGAACACGTCTTCACTGGAGAAGGCAACTCTTTCTTCACAGGAACATCGATTGTTGCTGCAAGTGTCAGCAAAACGACAAAAATCGATGCAAGATTTCAGCACAGCAAAAATGTTAGTTAAGTAAAGCTACATATGATGTGAGTGGACAGCTAATTAAATTGCTTACTAAATTTTAGTTTAGTTACTTTGTCACACCTTACAGTGTTTGACCCAGAGGACTAAAAGGATATCAAATTAACTAGTAAAGAGACAATTTAAAAGGTAATGACTGCTAAAACTAACAATGACAATATATTGATATACTCAACAAAGAAGTGATGTAAGTCTTATGACTACTGTACACAAGAAAATTCATAAAAGCATAATTATATATTAAAACAAAAAAGTTTTTAAGGCTCAATCACACAGGCCAATAGACTTGTTTGCAAACCCCTGGCAACCATCGGTCACCAGGAAAAGAATGTGTATTCCTCAAGGCCAAACACCTAGAGAATCAACATTTGCCCTGTGTGTCTGGGGTGTTAAATACAATCCAGCTTTATTTTCTAACTAGGTTGGTCTGCTTTGGTACCAGTCAGTAAATCTAATCAGCCATGTGTGAGAAATGACCCAGTAATCTGAAAGCTACATGCAAGGTCACCAGAATCCCGATTACATTTTCATGGTCATCTTTCTATCAGCTGATTGTAAAAAGGACACACTTTATGTGAATTAGTGTGAAACGGATTCAAACAAACCTGGATCTGGAGTGTAAGTAAATTGCTGAACGTCATGGGATCTCCCAGCATTCGTCACCACGTAGATTCCTACACACACTTTAGATGTGATGACTTGGTTCTGGTAGGGAGGAACCTTTACTATCAGGTGATTCTTTGGGATGATAAACAAAAAAACAAATCATCAGCAAAGGTGACTACAACAATAAGACTACCCAACTTCAGCATTCTGCTATAGAGATTTCTATGACACATCTGACATCACAGTGAAACCAAATATAAAGGGGCAATAAATCATATTTCTTACTCTCGCTGTAGACGATGGATTTGCAGCTACCAGATATAGGCATTATTTTGATATTATTTTGCTATTAATATTAATCCTACATGCAGCCCTCCCATTTATCCAGGCTTGGGACCAGCACTTTGAGTCCACTAACATTCCAGCCTTGACCCTGGGATCTGATTGTGTCTGAGGCGGATGTGTTAGCCACTAACATGCAGCCATGTCAACTAAATATCAATGACAGTAGCACTTCCAGCTACCAGCAGCTGGTGGCGGTAAAACTTGGCTCAATAATGAAGAAGCACAGAAGACCATTAACCGACCAAAGTAATACCAAATTATCTTTCAAATCATCAAAGCATAGTTAGCCGAGTTGGTTCATTCAATCATGTTTGTTCAGCCTTTCCAAACAACACACATCACAACTTCAGATAACTGTAAAACTGGTTTATGAGGGTGTCAAGGTCTTAGCAAAATGTGAATACTTTCATTTGGCAGCTGCAGATTCATCGCTTTGGTCATTTCATTTAACAAGAGCAAAGGTTCAGACTGGACTGTTGAGACACACTCAGTAATAGCCTCTAAGATGGAGTGTAATTAGGTCAGAACACAATGAGACTACTCAAACCTTTGAACAGCAGCCATTTAAGATGATTACATCTAAAGCCACTTACCAGTCTGAAATGGCTGCATCTATCTACTGAGCTCGTTAGCCATTACCATAATTGTTTGTCACAAAAAAGATTAAAAATAAATAAAAAACACACCTGGTGAAAAAGCTCCATGTCAATTTCAGCCTCTGCCTTCCATGACTTCTCATCTGAAACACAGAAAAGATGTAAAGCATCAACCAGGGAAATGACCTCACCTATAATAACCATGCAAGACATAAAGCTTTACTACTGACCAGAGGCATTCTCGTGAAATATGACTTTGGTGTCTTTAAGAAAGTTTTTTCCAATGATGAAGACCTCCTCTCCACCCCTCACTGAAGAGCTGTGCAGTGACTTTTTCAGTATTTCAGGCACTCCTGCTGGCTGGGCTGTAAACACAGCAGATACACGTCATGCATTTATGTTTTAAAGTTTTATTTATACGTGCAACCCAGGCAGAAATAAAATGAAATCTAACAGTAACAGCAAAGAAATTCATGCTGAAAGGACTGAAGCAGTGATTCAAAAAACGAATATGAAAACAAAATTTTTTAAAGTAGATTGGCAGCTTTGTTTTGCCTTTTCAAATTAAAACTTTCAGTAAATTTAAATATTTAAAAGATATTTTATCAAAAATGAAAAACTGATCACCAAGTATTGAGAAAACTGTAAATGCAAATGCTTAACATACCCTTTACCTTCAACATTGATTTTGGTGGGCATTGTCTACTGTACACCGCACCCATATCCACACACACATGTGCGTGTGTGGATATGGGTGCGCACGC